TATAACCTTTCTGGGCCACTCAGTGTGTATTATAACTTTTCAGGGCCACTCAGTGTGTATTATAACCTTTCTGCGCCACTCAGTGTGTTTATAACCTTTCTGCGCCACTCAATGTGTATTATAACCTATCTCCGCTACATAGTGTGTATTATAACCTTTCTGCGCCACTCAGTGTGTATTATAACCTTTCTGCGCCACTCAGTGTGTATTATAACTCTCTGCGCCACTCAGTGTGTATTATAACCTTTCTGCGCCACTCAGTGTATTATAACCTTTCTGCGCCACTCAGTGTGTATTATAACCTTTCTGCGCCACTCAGTGTGTATTATAACCTTTCTGGGCACTCAGTGTGTACATAACCTTTCTGGGCCACTCAGTGTGTATTATAACTTTTCTGGGCCACTCAAAGAGCATTAGTAGAGTCACTGACCAATCGCCACCGCTGGTACTGGGTGAGCAATGGTTCGCCAGGGGTAGCAATCCTGCTGAATATTTCTCCAAACTGACCATCGAACTCAAGGGGTTAAGTCATCATAATCTATGTGTGTGTGTGTGTGTGTGTGTGTGTGTGTGTGTGTGTGTGTGCGTGTGTGTGTGTGTGTGTGTGCGTGTGTGTGTGTGTCTGTGTGCCATTGGGTTGAATCCACGTTGCCTTAACAATCTCAAGAGGCTCTTAGCTGATCCCCCCCCCCCTCTTCCTCCTCCTCCACCTCCTTCTTCCTTCCTCTTATCCTCCTCCCCTCCCTCTCCCTCCTCCCCAACCCTCTTTCATCACCCCTTCCTTCATCTCTGCCTAGATGGGCCAGAAATAACCAAGTATGTTACGTAATTCTTCTCTCTCTCTCTCTCTCTCTCTCTCTCTCTCTCTCTCTCTCTCTCTCCAGTTACCTCCACACTACACGTCACCCAACACAACAATAACAGGTTTGGTATTTCAGTAACCAGTTCTTGTTTGGCGAGGCAGGGGAGCGGAAGATGAGGATGTGACGCTGGTAAGGATGTGACGCTGGTGAGGATCTTTATCATAGTCTATCCTGTGTGGTGTCTACGATCACACACACACACACACACACACACACACACCACATCACCACCGTAGAGGTCAAGACCTATTCAGGCGCTGCTCCGGCTGTTCCCCTTGACCAGTGTTCGGCCCATTCCCAGTCCTCTCCCCGACCGTCCTCACCACCGGGATATCAACATAATCAAAAGTGACAATTTCGTTTGGGAAAGAATTGGGATCAGTGTTGAACAGTGATGAAGACAGGGTTTAAGCCAGTGAGTTCAGCACCAGACAGTACCAGTGAGAGCCGTGACCCACCAGTGAGAGCCGTGACCCACCAGTGAGAGCCGTGACCCACCAGTGAGATAAGCACCCCTGGGAACTAACCACCATCTTCTGACCAGGAGGAGCTAATCAGTCCACCCTGGGAACAACAGAGGGCCGGCCGGCTTCACACTTGACTACGGTATAATACAACACCACCGCTCAGTGAGGTACTATGACACCACCCCACACCACACACGTGTCTCTATGACCACGTCAGGTCCTTCATATCAACACCCGAGGAAACTTACTACACCACGTGATCGCCACACCACCCGGTGTCTCCATGACCAGCCCACACCCGGGCCATCAACTGTTAACTATAATAATTTGTATGTTCAATCATTGTTCCTTCTTCTTTTTAGTAATGAAGGCTTTTGTTAAACAGCCCACCCACCCCATGTTAAACAACCCACCCACCCCATGTTAAACGACCCACCCACCCACCCCATGTTAAACGACCCACCCCACCCCCATGTTAAACGACCCACCCACCCATGTTAAACGACCCACCCACCCACCCCATGTTAAACGACCCACCCACCCCATGTTAAATGACCTACCCACCCCATGTTAAACGACCCACCCACCCACCACCCATGTCTTTGTATGTAATAAGTCATTTTTGTCCAATGTATATTTTCAGCCTTCGGGCTGCCGACTTTTTCAATAAACTGTTAATTGTTATTATTATTATTATTACACGCATTTAATGATGACCTAACGTAACCTACTATAACCAATTCTAGCCCAAACCTACCCCACCCTAACCAAACCACCCTAACCCTACCCTACCCTAACCAAACCACCCTAACCTAACCCTACCCTACTCTGTAAACCACCCTAACCAAACCACCCTAACCAAACCACCTAACCCTAACCCCTTACCCTAACCTAACCTAACCAAACCTCCCCTGTCAGTCGAACCAATCAGAACCTCTGGAATAATGCGACAATATTACACATAAATAAGATATAGAATAGTTCCCCTCTCAGGACACCTTCGGGGGTCCGACAAATCATAGAAAATGTATTAAAGTTACCCCTCTAAGGACGTCTTGGAAGGGTGGGGTGGATTGGAGGTGGTGAGGGTGGGAGGGTGAGGGTGGATTGGAGGAGAGTGAGGGTGTAGGAAGGGTGAGGGTGGATTGGAGGTGAGTGAGGGTATAGGAGGGGGTGGATTGGAGGTGAGTGAGGGGTGTACCAGGGGGGTGGAGGGTCCGACAATTTAACACGCATAGAAAATATATTTAGATTACCCATCTGAGGACGTCTTGGTGGATGCGACAATTTAACGTGTAAGAAAATTTTACTTAAGTTTCCCCTTTCAAGATGAGTCGATGGCCTGTTAACAGAAGGATGGCATGTGGTACTCCTCCTGTTAATAGAGATTCTAATCAGAGCTAGATCCCCGTTAACAGACTCTGGCTACCATACATACATACATACATACATACATACATACATACATACATACACTAAATCTTGTCTCCCCTATTTATCTATCTAGTAGTAGAGAGAGAACTATCTATCTATCTCATCTCCCCCCCCCTCTGGATGACAGGACACCGTAATAGGATGAGTAGAAGAGATATATTTTGTGAACCAATCAAAATCAGCATTATCCTAGCGGTGGATACGTGATGTTATTGTGAAAGAGGAAAAAAAGAGAGAGAGAGAGCCTTCACCTAGGGTACAAAAGAACATGAACTCGTGACAGCTGTGACCTTCTGCCTACCTAGAGACCGTGGCCCTCCCCCCCTCACCCCCGTAGATATGACAGAACAGACACAGACAGACAGGCGTACTAGTTCACCCTCTTACCAGTTATCAGCGTTTATTAATTATATCTTCTCGTTTATTATTATTACTATTATTATTATTTTTAATAATAATAATAAACAATAATAATAATAATAATAACAATAATATACAAATAATAACAATAATAACAATAATAATAATAATAATAATAATAATAATAATAACAATAATAATAATAATAATAACAATAATAATAATAATAATAATAATAATAATAATAATAATAATAATAGTAATAATAATAACAATAATAATAATAACAATACAATAATAATAATAATAATAATAATAATAATAATAATAATAATAATAACAATAATAATAATAATAATAATAATAACAATAATAATAACAATAATAATACTAATAATAATAATACTAATAAATAATACTAATAATAATAATAATAATAATAATAATAATAATAAATAATATATAACATAAATAATAATAATAATAATAATAAAATAACAGGTTCCATCATTCCTTGCTATCTCAATATTTTGTCCTCAGTAAAAACTAATTCAATTTATATTTAATTATCGTGCTCTTTACTGTGTGATTGTGCACCTGTGTGTATCTCTGTGTGTACCTTTGTAAGTGTACCTCTGCGTGTAACTGTGTGTACATGTCTGTGTGTGTGTGTGTGTGTGTGTGTGTGTGTGTCCAGTGTATACATTATAGTATATGTTGATTTATTCGTATTTTTAGTAGTAGTAGTAATTAGCAATCATAGTATTTTCATCATCATCGCACACACACACACACACACACACACTCCACTCACACACACACACACACACACACACACACACACACACACACACACACACACACACACTCACACTCCACTCACACACTCACACACACATCATCATACATCACCGAAGGGTCAAGACGTGCCTGCGCTCCTCTCAGGCTGCCAGGTCAACTTTAAGATTGACCCATACCAGCTCCCTCCCCTGAACCCTCCTCCCCACCGGAATATCAACAAGTTCACGCTAGAAGTTGCTATTTCATTTAGGAAGGAATGGAACCAGTGTTAAACAGGGTGAACAGTGGTGAACAGTGCTTGAGTCAGTGAGAACAACTCAGCAGTGGCAGTGGTACCCAAGTTGACCTTCACACAGTGAGGTCCCAGGTACTCAGTGATAACGCCTGACCCAACAACAGCGATGTGTTAATCCGTCTACGATAGGAAGGCCTGGGACCACACCTCACTCATAGAACACCGTCTGTGAGAACTACTACACGTGAGGCCCCTCATAACATCATCTGTGAGGAATTACTCACACCACGTGAGGCCCCTCATAACACCATCTGTGAGTAACTACACACCACGTGAGGCCCTCATAACATCATCTGTGGGGAATTACTACACCACGTGAGGCCCCTCATAACCACCATCTGTGAATTACTACACCACGTGAGGCCCTCATAACACCATCTGTGAGAATTACTACACCACGTGAGGCCCCTGTAACACCATCTGTGAGGAATTGCTACACCATGCCCTCCCTCATACCATCTGTGAGGAATTACTACACCACGTGAGGCCCCTCATAACACCATCTGTGAGGGAACTACTACACCGTGAGGTCCTCCTAACACCATCTGGGAGGAGTTACTACACTACATGTGTGCTGTTCAACACCTACATTAATCTGTATGTTCACTGTGTGTTCTTCACCTTTCTCTAATGAAGGCTTTTTTTAAACCACCAATGTATGTAATAAGTCATTTATGTCAATGTATATTTTCAGCCTTCAGGCTGCAGAACTTTTCAATAAACCGTTAATTATTATTATTATTATTACACACACACACACACACACACACACACACTCACCTTAATAATATCAAGGCGTATGTTGAAGTCAGTTCACTAGCCTCCCCATCCTCGCTGACAGGACTGACACAGGGTTGACAGTAGACACGATCATTCCCTATCAAATAACACAAAAAACTCCCTCATTTGGGTATAAAATCTCTCAGTATGATCAGGACCAAAAAAATTCTAATCATTTCAAAATTCCTCCCGAAAAAATACGTTTATTTCACTTTAAAATATAATTATTCCTCTCCTCACTACACCTAATTAATTATATACACTTAAACTACACTTATCACTTATATAATCACTTTTTGTAGTAGTTAATGAAGTAGTTTAATTACCAGATAAAAAGTTTTGAGGGGAAGCGAGTGAGGAGCGAGTCGCGGCCGTATGTGTGTGTGTGTTCACTGGTCGACTCCGCAAGCTTACTGAGCTGGTAACTCTCTTCACAGTCACTTATATAGACTTGGTAGGTCAGTGCAGTTCATGTATTACCCCTCCCCTCCCCCACCTATACCCCCCACCCTCACCCTCTACCCCACCCCTCTCACACCCTCTACCCCCCTCTCACCCCTCACCCTCTACCCCCACCCTCTACCCCCCCCACCCCTCTACCCCCCTCCCTCACCCCTCACCCCCTCTACCACCCCTCTACCCCTCACCCCTCTACCCCCCCCCTCTCCCACCCCTCACCCCCACACCTCTACCCCCCCACCCTACCCCCCACCCTCTACCCCCCTCCCCCCTCACCCCTCTACCCCACACCTCTACCCCACCCTCTACCCCCCACCCTCTACCCCCCCACCCCTCCCCCTCACCTCTACCCCCACCCTCCTACCCCCACCCCTCCCCCTACCTCTACCCCCCCCTCTACCCCCCACCCCTCTACCCCCCTCCCCACCCCTACCCCTCACCCCTCTACCCCCACCCCTCTACCCCCCACCCCTCTACCCCCACCTCCCCCCCCCACCTCTACCCCCACCCCTCTACCCCCCACCCCTCTACCCCTCTCACCCCTCACCTCTACCCCCACCCCCTCTACCCCTCACCCTCTACCCCACCCCTCCCCCCCCACTCTACCCCTCTACCCCCACCCCTCTCCCCACCCCTCTACCCCCCTCTCACCCCCTCACCCCTTACCCCCACCCCTCTACCCCTCCACCCCTCCCTCCTCTCACCCCCTCACCCCTCCCCCCCCCACCCTACCCCTCACCCCTCCCACACCCCTCTACCCCCACCCCTCACCCCTCTACCCCCACCCCTCTACCCCCTCCCCCTCACCCTCACCCCTCTACCCCCCACCCTCTACCCCACCCCTCTCCCCACCCCTCTACCCCCCCACCTCTACAACCTCCCCTGTCTTATTGAACTTGGGCTGGACTTAATGGCTTGGACTTAATGGGCTGGACTTAATGGCTTGGACTTAATGTGTCTACTTAATGGGCTGGACTTAATAACTTGGACTTAATGGCTTGAGACTTAATGGCTTGGACTTAATGGGCTGGACTTAATGGCTTGGACTTAATGGGTTGAACGTTTCTGGGTTTTGTGTGAACGTATTCGTCTTATGTATGTATGTACGTGTACGTGTGTGTATATATAGCCTTTATGGCAGCTATACACACACACACACACACACACACACACACACACATATGGCTGTACTTCATTCCTATACGTGTATGTATGTATGTATGTGTATATATGTATGTGTACATATGTGTGAGCCAAGATATGTGTGTACAGTATATATGTGTGTTAGAGGGAGGAAGGAGGAGAAATATGTCAGACGAGAATATCTCCCACTCACCCATTCTCCCCTCCATGATAATCCCCCAATTTAATCCTCCCTCATCACCCCTTCACCCTAGATCCCCCATTAACGCCCCATCCCCGGACGCTGGGGAGATGGGGGCAGATAGAGCTGAGAATGGGGCAGTGCTAATGGCCCCCTGCTCTTATTGGGTCTGGGGTCTCAATAAATCTGGGGTCTGTTAGATCTGGGGTCTATTAGATCTGGTCTTTAGATCTGGGGTCTGTTAGATCTGGGGTCTATTAGATCTGGGGTCTATTAGATCTGGGGTCTATTAGATCTGGGGTCTATTAGATCTGGGGCGTATTTGACAGACATTTCAACCTTCCACACACACACACACACACACACACACACACACACACACCTGCCTAACCCCTAAACATCTCACTTTAAACAAGGGGTGAGATAATTAAGGCAGGTGAAGGTAAGATGATAATAATAATAATAATAATAATAATAATAATAATAATAATAATAATAATGATAATAGGCAGACATAGATAGATAGACAGATTAATTACGATAGATTGTGGTAGTTCGATAATTAGCTAGGATTAATTATGTGGTAGTTCGATAATTAGTTAGGATTAATTACTGTGTATATATTAAGCTAGTAATTAATTGAGTTGTTAAGAATAATAACTATATATAATTACTTTCCTCTTCTGGTTATAATGTTTAAATACAATTAATTAATTG